GCACCGCCCACTTATGATCACATATAAGTATATCGGTAACCGTTCTACCAATTTGTACCGACGGACGGACAGACAGACATGGCTTAATCGATTTCTTTTTTCATCCTGATCATTTATGTATACATTTGTCTATATCTATCTCGATTCGTTTTGGCTGTTACAAACAACCGTTATGTGAACAAAATTAATATACCCTTGTGCACAAGTGCGCTCGGGTATAAAAAGGTGAACAGATGGCAACACATTTCGAAAAAATTTTCAAAATAAAGCTGTAAATCATTAAACATGCTAACCATTAAACTTATTAGTTAAATTAAATTTGAGTCTTTAAAATATTTTCGAAATAAAGTTTTTTGCCTTCATCAAAATAAATTAATATTAAATTAAAATTTCGTTGAACTTATAATTTGAATTGAATTAAACTTTTTAAGTCTGTAAAAGAATGTTTACCAGTTCATAAAACAAAAATAAAAATATTAAGTATTTTTCATTCTGTGTCGCTCTTACAGCTAATTTCACAAAAGCAGTTTAAGTGAATAATGAATTTAATTTTTTGAATTTTATATGGAAATTTACAGAAAATTAAAAAGCATGTTCCATTTAAATTGCTGGTGAATCCGGCTGTTAGAATAAAATTATATTGCTGAAAAATATCTGAGATACAATTTTTTAAATCCGAGAATTCACATAAAAATGCTTTTTATGAATTTGTATAAGTTGAAAATCTTAAGGCTTTTTTCTGAGTACGCACTGTAAATTTGGCCCTTAGCATTTTAAGAAAATTATAAACACAGCCCTTTAATTATTCGACTCAAAAACAGCCATATTTAGCAATGATGGTTCAGACAAACAAACTGCGTTATTAGTTTTACTCTCTGACGTCAGAATTTTTTTTAAAGGACTTTGAAATTTAAAAAAATATGATTATGTATTTCAAAAAATTATTTACGAAATTCAATGCAATTTAGGAAAACAATAAGAGTATCGTATAAAAGAAAAAATTCTTTAGAATTATAACAGGATACATATTTGCAATTTTTATTTTTGAGAAAATTATTATTTGAGTACTAATATACATACACACGATCTTATCATCGAAAGATAAAATTTATTAAAAGCGCATTTTCAATATCTATTCGCCCTTGTGAACCAAAAATCTTTATTGTTTTTGAAATCTACAGAATTTTCTCTTTCATTTGGTACCCATATTATTATTCTACTTTGCATTGATTTTTTAAATAATTTTTTGAATTAATCATATCTTAAAAATTTCAAAGTTCTTTGAAAAAAAAAAATCCTGGTGTCAGAGTGAAAAACCAAATACGCAGTTTTACTATATTTGGCCCATAGTTTCGTGCGTATATCGATTCTTTCGTGTGTTTTGAAATTTTTTTGTTTTTGCCTTATAGTGATTTATGTACATACATATTCCTATATGTAAATTCCTATATGTACATATGTATATACACATGTATTTTCTGACATCGTATAATCTGTACGTTTGAAGGAAGACCTTTGCATTGATATTCCAACCGAGTAAAGGTTAAATATAAAAATACATTTTGGTGGCAATGCCTCTGGAGGTATTTTGTTAAAAATAACATTTTCTGCATACACACATATACATGCGTTGAAGTTCAGGCAAGTTATTTTGATGCTCAAGAAATTATTCTTTTATTCATTTTTATTGCTTTCACAAATGTTTTGCCGGTTTTTTGTGAGTATAATCGGTTGTTCGTAGTTTTTTTTTCGGCGGAAAATTGCCTGAATAAATTGCTGAGGAAAGCAATGAAAAAGTGGAATACATATGTACATACATTTTCATGTACGTATGTATATTTAAAACTGAATCAACTTAAGTGAAATTGAAACGAAAGTCATTTTTCATGTGCAGCAATTTGATACAAATAATCGTAAAATGCCAATGTTTACATTTACTTGTGTGTGTGGCTAAAACAAAAGGGCCTAACAGCCAGCCGGCAAATTTCACCAGCACAAGCGCTAATGTTG